TTACCATCACTGAATTCCCCCTTCTCCTCCACTACCAACATCCTGGGAGTTCCCATTGAGAGAGAATCTAACCATCACCACCCCAGCCCCTTGATGTTCAATGATGTTCCCATCACTGAATTCTTCCCCCCCCCCCCACCACTATCAACAACCTGGGGGTCCCCATTGAGCAGAAACTGACCCGGGACCCCAGCCCCATATCAATCCTGTGGCTACAGGAGTGGGTCAGAGGCTGGGAATCCTGCAGCGAGCAACTCCCGTCCTGACATTCGGGAAGCTTGACACTGTCCCAGGACAAAGCAACCCCTCCGTCCCCCCGGCACTGCACCATTCCCCATTGGACTGGAGTTTGTCGGACAGATCCATGGGCTCTCTCCAAGGGGCCGGGGATTGCGAGACTGGGGCTTTTGTCTGTCACTTTTGGGCTGTGATCCCAAGCCGAGGCCAGACGCACACATGTGCGGCATTCCAACTGGGAACGACATTGCTCATCCCCTCGGTGTCAAACTCTCGGATCTTCCTCCGTAATGGCACGGTGTGGGATGGATGGGTGGCTCTGCTACAGGCCAAGTTGGCAGCAGACTCCAGATTTCTCTATTATTTTCGGGGGTGGGGGGGAGGGGTGGGTGCTGTTAGGGATTGGGCAGTAAAAAGATTAAGGAAAGCTAAATGCAGCAAAGCAAAAAAAAACAAACTGCATGAAAGCGTGAGGCAGAGAGAGGGCTAGATACGGCGACAGAGGAAGAGAATACAGAAGTTGTGAGAGGGTCGGAGGGAGAGGAGAAGTGAGACACAGCCACCGAGAACGAGACAAAGTGAAACCCTGCCCCTTTAACCCTGGGTCATTGTACCTGACTGTCTCTCACACACAAACAAGAGAAGGCAGGAACTGCAGAACAGTCAGGGTAACCTGGACTGGCAGCAAGGGGGCAGGAAGAGGGTCCTGGGCACATCCAGCCTTGGGATGTCCCACTCACCGTCTGTCTGAGTTCTCTCCAGGAGTGAGAATACTCAAATGACGCAGGATGAATTGAGGTGTAGGTGTGGCTCAGTAACTGACACCTATTTCACTTTCAACACTTAGCAGATTTCAGTGGCAACAGAAGCATCCATGCCCCACATACCTCACACAGCTCCCTGCTCCTGCTCATGGGGCCCATTCATTCCTCCCGACAGGGCCCTCCACCACGGTACCCATCCCAATAGAGCCCAGTCCCAGCAGATCCATTCCTACATTACCCATAGCTCCTTAGCATTTCCCGTATCCATATCCACCCAATATACTCCGTGTCTGAAAACTCAGCCCGAAAGCATCCATGGTCCCTCAGTCGATATTCCTCATATCCGTGTCCACTTAGGGGCAGTTTGTCCCTGTGGGCAAGTGGAAAGAGGGTAAGTGACTGAGACAGCCCATCACATGGTCTCCATCTCTGTGAACAAGACCGTGAGCTCCTTGCGTTCGTGACTTGGGGGGAGAGTGTGGGGTAGTAGACAGGAGACGGGCTGAAGAACACAGTATATAATGGAGAAGCGAAGCTGGGAGCAGGGCTGTCTTTCCA